AGTCCAATCCTCCCGCCGAAGCAGGGTCACCTACAGCAGGCCGCAGAGGACCTTGTCCAGGTGGGTCTTGAATATCTCCAGCTTGAGGGCATGCAAATACAGTAGCATGAAGGACACCAACAGAGCTCTTCAGCGCTCCCCCAGATCCTCCTGTCCTTCATGGGCTCACACCCTCTACACACAGCCACACCCCATCCTTATTGCAACGACTGTTACAACTTACAATGGACATTTACACTGGCAAAACCATTTTCACCACCAGAGACCTTTTATTCCCCACAAAACTGATTGTTTCCAAGTATGGCCATGAAGCCTTTGCATAACACCCACATGTACAGTAATAAGCTGAACCAAGCAGGGACATGGTTTGCAGGCATGGTGGTGTTGGATTGATGGTTGGACTTCATGATCTTAAAGGTCTTTTCCAATCCATGGTTGTATGATTCTATGATTCTAGGTAAGGGTCTGGACATAGGCACCGAAACTCATCTGGTTACAGTTACCTGCTCGACCAGTCCTTGGCAGGTTTTTGACCCAGGCCACCTGGCATCCAGACAATTCATGAGCATGGCATGGGAGTCAGCAAGGGCTTTGGCAATTCCCAAGAGGCAGGAGGGAATCCTGCTTTGGAGTTTGGTAGCATGAATGTTGCCAGATGATGTGTTCTAAAAGCCCCACCACTGTTCCAGAAGTTCCTAATAGTCATGGTGAAGACACAGTGGCATAGGCTAAGAACTGAATAAACAACCCTGGACTCAGGGCAGACCGGTACTGTCTGCCAGTGCTGCAGCATCTTCTTCATCTTCCTAGCTAGGCAGGCCTGATTAGAGCTCCAGACTCCAGCACAGCTATAGCCCAGGCTACTACCTGCTGTGCTCCCACCTATTTACAGCTGTTAGCAGGACAGACCTTTCCTACAGAGGCATTTGGCATAGACTGGGCTCGCGTCTGAGCTGGTGAAGTCAATGAAACAAATCTTACTGGCTTGTCTGGTTCAGGGCCAGGACCGTCTTCTGCTGTGAGAGTGAACAAACAACACACTCTCTAAGTCCCTCATATCCTCATGTCTTTGATCACAGATGGATTTGAACAATTCTAGATTGCAGGAAGGCAATTCCGCTGAAGCTTAACACTTTCTAATGATCTCTTTATTAAAGGACAAGTCTAATGGAAGGCAGAACTGAAGAACATGAGGAACATACAGCGAGCAAAGCTCCTTCCAGCATAACTCGGACAGATCAGCTTTCACCTCAGGCTTATCATTGCCTGGGGGCACAGGGTGTTTCCCTCATTTTTCTACAGACAGCAAATTACAGAAAAAACCTCTGGCTCACAGATCACAAAGTGGTAAGAAATCAAAGGGATTCAGAGGAAATGCCTTTCTGCTGAATGGGTAAAATTAATCCCAAGTGTAACTTTACTGGCACCAGTGCAAATTCAGCAATGGGCTAGGTCTGCCATTTGCAATAAGAAGATCAGGTTTATGTTCTCCTTTCACATGTGCTTAAAAATATATTTTCTTTTTCCTTTCTTAATCTTTTCTATTTGAAAGGACTGTTTCAAGAGTAACTGTATGCTTCCACATGCATTTAAGTACTCAGGACAATAATATTGCCAGTTATTTGTTTCATAATGGTCTCAGGAGCCTTCCCAGTGACAAAGTCCAGGTGTGCTGGGCATTGCAGACAGTGCTGGACTATATCATCTAAAACAGCCGAAGGACTTACAATGGCATTGACATTCAAGCCATTCAAACCTTTGCACTCTGTAGCCACAACACTGGCATTAGGGAACTCCAGTTAGCTTGCTTCTAGGGCAAGAGACAATTCCCACCACACAAAGTTCACACTGAAATTTTTCTACATTCATTGTCTCTGGGCACCTGGCTGGAAGACACGTTGCTGATACCTAATGCAGTAGCGTTACGTGCTGGATCAGCTACAAAGGATGCAAAGGAAGGAAGGAGAATACACGGCTGGCTTACAAGAGATTTGCAAATGTCTGAGTTCACCAGGCTAGGCACTGTTTGGACTGACAGCAATGGTAGGTGCAGAGCTGTGTGTGCACTAACCACTAGTTTCGTGGTTGCAAGCAATGGAGAACTGCATAAGACTAATATAAAAGGTAGCATTTTTATATGCACCTAACTTGCCTCAGAAACGTCTCATTTGAGGTAAAAAGGGACTGGAGCCCACCCAGCTTCCAGCCTCTTTTCAATTTTTGCTGGACCAGCCCTTTGCAATGGACTAACAAGCCAGCATCACCCTGCCAGCCTTACCCTCCCTGCCATGCTGATGCTTGTTCTCTGCCCCGTCCTGCAGTTATCCCCTGGGTGCTATTTCATGCACAGCCCTGCCCTAGCTGTTCTCAACCTGAGATGCTGTTCCCCATGAAGAACCTTTTCTATTTATTACTAGAACTGCCGATTTCTTATTTCACTTGGCAACTCCATTTTGGACATACATAACCAGCCAAACCACTTCCTCCCTTCCTGCAGTGACAGGCAAAATCATTGATTTTCAGCTCCCCAAATCTACCCCTGATCAGCTAGCCTCCATATAACCCTCCCTCTGAAATATGCACCTTCTGACATTAAAGGAAAAGCAGCTGTGTTCCTTAAAAGGAGTCCAAATCCTACGTGCTGAATTCAGGTAGTTTGGTTTTCACCAAAAGAAGTTTGCCACAGACAGCGTTATGAATACCTAGGAGAGCTAAGTGCTTCTCTAGCTGGTTTAGGAAGCCAGTGTCCATACCTGCTGCTGCTTCTGGGCAGGAGGAGACAGAGACACAAAGCTTGTAAAGCCCAGTTCTCAGGTGAAAGCCTGCTGTGAATCCAGAGGAAGCTAAGTGAGACATAAAATGAAGCAGCAGTTTCTCTCTCCCACCTATCGTCATGCAATAATACTGCACACAGTTGAACCAGTGTAGTGGAAAATAATGCTTGGATTTCTAAAGGGTTTTTGCAAAACAAAGGATTTTGGATCACATTTTCTCCTCCATTTAGTCACTGTTCGCACAGTAATGAAGAGCAGAAGTTGGCTTGCTTTGTTTAAAATAATGAGAAGTCGTGACTTTGAGCAATTTGATCATAAATTTTTGGCTCACTTTTTCTCCTGCATGAGCTGGTTGTGATTGTAGGTATAATTTACTATGACAAACCACTAGCATTAATGCATTAATCAAGAAAAACAAATGGCCTCCCTTTGAAATCTCCTGCTCACCTAGAGAGAGTAATGGGGTTATAAATGGAGAAAGAACAAATATTGACTCTATGAAATGTAAAGGTACCTGGGAGTTCACCCATCAGTCTTTAGATTACACTTGCCTTTCAAGATGAATGGTATTTCTTTCACAATCCATTTCGATTATTTTTTTAAGCATCTCAGGAAACAGGATGGGGACATTCAACTCGGTGCTCTCTTTAGGTTTTCAAGATGTTCCAGACTGTTTCTCAAGGACAGTACCTCTGATTTCTGGAATGAGGTAGATGCTCCCAACCCAAAAGCTGTCTTTCAGTTTGACATAAGCACTGAAGGAGCTGCCTGGACTGGTCAATTAGTTATTTGTTGGATGGTGTTTCTGGTGCAGCGTTCTGTAAGATGGCTCCAGAGTCTCACCCTCCATCACTTACACTATGGTAGCTTAGGGACCCAGACACCCCTTGGCATCTGGACCCATACAGGTCTCAAGAGGACCCAAGAATCTACTGTCCAAGGGAAAGGCCTCTGGCACCATTACTGAGCTTAATCTTACTTTGTCACACACTCTTCATCTCCTCCAAACTCATAATGTCTCACTCATTTAACCTCGGAAGCAATGCTATACCTGTCTTCTACACAGACTACTGGAGTCTACTTTAGATTCATTCCAACATTGGCTTCCACATTAGATTGTATGCCTCTTAAAAATGTCTTACTGAATGAGAAAATTAGGAAAATTATCCCATAGAGAACTCCATACTGAGAGGGGACACAACCAAGAGCAAAAACCACAAGAGAAGCTGCAAAGCCAGTCGTATCTTAAATTCTCAACGATCCGAAGACAACACTGACTACAAGATGAGTTTAAAGACTCTTCTGACTCTGAACACAGGACCAGTATCCACCAAGGCACTGTCAAAGCTGCCAATAGACCAGTTCATGTTTGATGTGTCACCTGCACACTGATAGAAATCATTGGCACCTGTTTTCTTCCGTCTTCCATAAAGGTTATACAATAACAATTTATCCTTCAGGGCTGGAACACAACAAAGGGAAAAGGAAGCAGAAGAAAACAGCTGTGCATGAACACATTGGTGATGTGCCATGAAAGCCATGCCTGTTGCCAGAGGCCTTCCAGGAGCCTCAGGCTCAGGGAAGCAGACGTGATCACTTCATCAGCAACTGCATAAGAAGGGGAGAAGACGCAGTTGGTCTGGCAGGGTTAACCACGCATGGCTCCACAGGATGTATGCTCCAAAACAGCCGAGGCCTGTGGGTGTTTTGACAGAAGGAGCTGAAGATTTTCCAGTCCATTTCTTCTCCAAGCTCAGTGCTAGGATGCTGTGTCTGAAGAACAGTCCTCCCTCTCCTCTTCACTTGCTCTACAGTGAGGTAAAAAATGTAATTGTGGATGCTTGATGGCCACCTTAATGAACAGCTGTTCTAGCCAGAAGGGTCTGGCACCTTAGGTTATTTTAAGCCAGATTTTGGGATATCTCTGATTATTAAGTTTTAGCAAGGTCTGCTTCCCCTAAGCTAACAAGTCATGTCTCATTAAAAGGAAACTTCCACAAAAACTGGAGCTGCCATCAGATTTTTCAAATAATCTAATAAAATCCGCTGCACTCAGACCCTTCTAGAGTAGTTTATAGAGCTGTTTTGATACCTGGGCTAAACAGGATACAGCAGAATCCAGGCATTGCCTTGTGTCCACGCTGACATGGTTTTACAAGCGTGCCTGAAGGACTCCGACACTCCTGGACTCTGTGATATACGTGGCCCTGCAGTCTGTTGGGAGCTATGTCTGCTCCATCAGCCACTGGTAAGGCTACAGCAACTATGAATGACTTGACAGTTGCTCTGTAAGGGCAGGGTTGAGTTAGGACAAAAGCAGACTCTGGGCTGCTTTTCTGAGGAAGAAGTCACCATATAAGCCACAGAGCAGTGGAGCTACTCCACACCACGGAGTCTGTCCTTGCCCTTCCAGTTAGCTTCCTTGGGCCTCCATTTCTCCATGGGAAAAGCAGCTCAGGAGGCCCTCAGAAGTGCCAGATAACAGCCCAGCATCTCCTAGCAACAAAGGCATATTTAATGCTTGAGGGGATTCACCCTTTAACCTTTCTTCCTCCCACTCTGACATTCTGTGAGCAGGGATCTCTTCCAGGCTCCATACCTGGTGTACAAACCAGCAAAACACAGAGGAGAGGGCAGGAGACACATTTGTGCCATGCTGTTGCATAAACATCAGGGCAAGGAGCTTCACTTCCAAGGTAACAAATGCCAGAACAAGGTTTTAAAAATGAATTATCAAAAGCAACGTTTTCACTTTCAAATCCAACTGAAACCAAGCCGTGCCAAGTCCTGAGGTCTGTACTGAGCCAGTGCTCATTCCCATTTGTGAAGGAGATGACCACGGGTGTTTTCTGCACACCCAGAGACGATGAGGTGGGGAAGGCCCTCCAGGAGGCAGCCCCATTTCTTTTGGAATTTGAGGACATCTGACTACCTCTTCACTAGAATAGCATAGAACAGAATACTATTTCGCTTGGAAGGGACCTGTGATGATCACCTAGTCCAACTGCCTGATCACTTCAGGGCTGACCAAAAGTTCAACCATGTTATTAAGGGCATTGACCAAATGTCTCTCAAACACTGAGAGGCTTGGGGCATCGGCCACCTCTCTAGCAAGCCTGTGCCAGTGTTGGACCACCTTCTCAGTAAAGAAATGCTTCCTCATGTCCAGTCTGAAACTCCTCTGACATAGCTTTGAAGGTTTCGGTCTTCTCAACCCTGAATACACAACAGACCACACCTCCAGAGCAGCTCAGCCCCTTGTAGAAACCTCTTTCTGTTCAGAGACATAATAACAATAACAGCAGGTGTTAACCAGATTTTGCTGTGTTTCCTCTAAAAAGAGATCCAAGCTCGGGCAACACGAAAATTCAGTCCCTGCTTTACGCCCTCTGACACTCCACAGGCAGCTGTGTCGGGGCCGCTGCAACATGGCCTCAGGTGTTTAGAAGAAATCTCTGTGATTTCAGACAGCATCACAGCCCGTTTCAGAAGGTGATATCGACAGCCCTTATCCCGGTGCTGCAGAGGTTGATGCACATATCTGTGCTGGCACTGAAACACCTTGTTCCTGGCCTCATGGGGACACGAGAGGGTTGAATGCAGGCAGCATGTGTTAGATGCAGGTAGGCAGGTCAGCTCGAGCCACGAAGCAGCCTGCCCGTGTTCACAAAACTCAGAGTAAGAGCCTGGCCCCAATCCTTGTAATGAGTTTTGGGGTTTCTTCATTCACATTCAGTGTCATATAAACCCAGAAGTGTCCTAGACCTCAAGTAGCTGACTCTGAACTCATTCTGAGCCAACACTGGTACAGCCTGCCGGGCGCTTCCACTTCAGAAACGTACAACCCTTCCCTATATGGCCAAAAGCAGGACATGGTCTGAGAAGGTCAGTTGTTCGTGCTTTCATGCTTACAATAAAGATGAGCAAAACCACAGAAATGAAAATGTCTCAGATTCTCAAAGAATAGGTGGAGCAAAACACAATGAAGGTCTCCTTCATCCCAGGGTAATCCCTAAATATCAGCCTTTTTTCCTCTAATGAATAGAACCATCATTCAGTAAAATCTTTTGCAAGGAAGTGTGTTCCTACACACTTCCAAGAGGGATTAGCTATACTTGTGACCTGAGAGAGAATACATTGTCTTTGTTGATACATCTGCAAGCACAAAAACATCAGCGGACAAAGACAGGTCACTGAAATGTCCATACCAAATGAGACTTGGTTTTGACACAGGATGGAGGTGGGAGCCTGTCCAGATAATTCACAGAATCACAAAATCACAGAATGGTTTTTGTTGGAAGCGACCTTTCAAGGCCATCTAATTCCAACTCCCCTGCCATGGGCAGGGACATCTTCCACCAGACCAGGTTGCTCAGAGCCCCGTCCAACCTGGTGTTGAATATTTCCAGGGATGGGGCATCTACTACCTCTCGGGGCAACCTGTTCCAGTGTTTCACCACCCTCGTTGTAAAGAATTTCCTGCTTATATCCAGTCTAAATCTACCCTCTTTTAGTTAAAAACTATTACCCCTTGTCCTATCACAACATGCCCTGCCAAAAAAGTTTGTCCCCATCTTTCTTATAAGCTGCTTTAATTACTGAAAGGCCGTAGTAAGGTCTCCCCGCAGCCTTCTCTCCTCCACGCTGAGCAGCCCCAGCTCTCCCAGCCTTTCCTCCCAGCAGAGGGGTTCCAGCCCTCGGATCATTGCTGGGGTCTCCTCTGGCCCTGCTCCAACAGCTCCAGCTCTGTCCTTCGCTGAGGGCTCCAGAGCTGGACGCAGGACTCCTGGGGGAGTCTCAGCAGAGCGGGGCAGAGGGGCAGAATCCCCTCCCTTGCCCTGCTGCCCATGCTGCTGGGGATGCAGCCCAGGGTACGGTTGGTGTTCTGGGCTGCGAGCGCACGTTGTCGGGTCATGTTGAGCTTCTCATCAACCAGCACCCCCAGGTCCTTCTCCTAATGAAGTGAGTTGATTTGACTGAACTCAACCTCTCAACACAACGTTGTAGCCAAAAGGCCTGCGTGAGTACTGGATATAAATGCAGCTGAGAGCTGTGAGCTATTGTTATCTCCATATTTGGGATGACTGTGAGCACTACTGAACTGCTGTGCTCAGTTTTGAAACAAACAGTTCAGGAAGAATATTGAAATACTGGAAGAGACTTCAAAGACAGTAACATGAAGGATGACATTTAATGGAAGACCTCGGTCCCATTCTACTTCCATACACGAGAGGGGATCAGGCTAAGCCCTATTTTCTACCTGTCTCAGTTTTCTTCCCAGGGAAACTCAGATGCTCAGACAGGGAATCACGTTGCATTTTGGTGGGAATAAAAAAGAGCTGCCGGGCACAGCATCTCTAGATTGAATCATAGCTGCCTCGGCACTGTGAAAATACACCTACAGGGTGCTCGACGGGACATCCCTCCTCCTCCAGGGTAGATTCAGCTGAAAGTTCTAACCAAAAAGAACTGAAAGAGTGACTTGACCATGACTACCTGAGAGAAAGACACCCACTTTGCAATATGGGGCCGTAACTCCAGCTAGGCAAACAGTCACGAATAAATTTTGAATAGGAGCGGTAAGGAACCATAGTGAGCTTTCCCAGCACCGGATAGGAGGGACTAGAAATACGCTCCTTTCGAAAAGAATTAATTCAGAGAAGTCCTGAAGTCTGTCTAATCTTTGTCAGATCACCTGAACATAGTGATGCCTTTAATCTATGGATCTCACCATAAAGAATTATTTTACAGTAGTGATTAACTCGTGTGGTTGTAAAGCGATCTGCATTTTCATAGATTTTGTTATATAGGTAAGAAAAGTAGGAAGGCAGCTATGCCATTCCTATATCTGAACCTGCTCAGCAAAGCAGCTGAAGATGACACCCTTGGATCTGTACTTTCGACTCAAGAAAGCTGTCCCTGAAAAGACAGCCCCCCCGCCCCAAGATGCTTACACACTTCACGTTACTGGAATTACCCCTATATGCTCGGTTCCCCACCCCCCTGAGATACATTCTTCTGCCTTTTTCGTAGTGCTTAGGCAGCGACAAGAACTAAAAAAACAAAACTCTTGGGAAGGGACCTTTGCTTCAAGGGGTGCACTCTGTTGGTGGTGATTTTTCTGTATTTTAAGGGCCAGAGTGCCCTCTTCTGCCCCATCCGCGTCCTGATTATTAACTGACTCCAGCGTCAGATCAGCAGATTATCGAGACATACTGTGACTTGTCTTCTGCCCACCCTACCAGCTGCTAAACCACAGTTCAGCAGCTGAACAGCTGATCACAAACTAGCAAACAAATTATGTAATTGTGGGGCTCAGGCAGGCTATGAAGCCAGCGGCCACCAGTACAAGGGGCTGGGGGAACATCACACGCACCGTGATCCATCTAATCAGCCGGTGAGGTCAGGCGTGTTCTGAGGTGAACCCCTGCGAAGTCTGAGCAGCGGGGTGTTGTTTGCCAGGGCCACACGCCGCGTTGCAGCTTCGCCTCTCTGCTGCCCGGATAGCCGCTGACTGAACCTGAAGATAAGAAGCACAAGGATGTGTTGGACCGGGTCCAGAGGAGGCCACGAAGATGATCCGAGGATGGAGTACCTATCCTACAAGAAAAGGATGAGGGAGTTGGGGCTGTTCAGCCTGGAGAAGAGAAGGCTGCGGGGTGACCTTAGAGCAGCCTTCCAGTGCCTGCAGGGGCCTACAAGAAGGATGGAGAGGGACCTTTCACAAGGGTGTGTACTGATAGGACAAGGGGGAACGGCTCTAAACTAAAAGAGGGCAGATTTAGATTAGATATTAGGAAGAAATTCTTCCCCATGAGGGTGGTGAGGCCCTGGCCCAGGTTGCCCAGAGAAGCTGTGGCTGCCCCCTCCCTGGCAGTGTTCAAGGCCAGGTTGGATGGAGCTCTGAGCAACCTAGTCTGGTGGAAGATGTCCCTGCTCACGGCAGGGGGGTTGGAACCAGGTGAGCTTTAAGGTCCCTTCCAACCCAAACCATTCCATGATTCTACGATTTTATGATTCCATGAACTCAGGCTGCTATGGACACCTGAGGAAATCGGACTGAAACAAACACATTAAAAGCAGCTCAGTGTCACTAACGTGCACAGTAATTTCTCAGCTAGGCATGGTGGAACCCCTGGGACCTCAGGTTATCTCAGTCAGGGACGGAGCCTCGAGGGACGCGGTGA